GCAGGCAGACCCCAGGTTCACAAGAGGGCTCTCCTCCCCGCTGCCAGCCGTTAGTCACTGGTCATGAGGTAGGGAAGATAACGAAGCATATTTTTTATCCCTGCAAGCTGCAGGTGCACGCTCGGAACCTGAACGTTCCCTTGGAGCTCAAGGGCGGCCAGTCTCTTCAGCATGCATTGTTGCCTCGCTTTCTGTCTAGTCACGTTTATTCGAATAATTTGTTGCATTGTTGCTTTCTTTACAGCAGAGGTAAGTTCTTGTTTGCTGCCAGTGTGTGCCTTTTTTTATGTCGCAGGCAGACCCCAAGTTCACAGGGGGTTCTCTCTACGATTACTTTGCTTCCATGCACATAAGCTGTGACTGATTATTTGTATGTTTTTGTGCCTGCCCTTGTTTTGTCTCTAGTTTGAGTGGCTATACTATGCATGTTCTCACATCCCCAACATCCCCCCCCCCCCAAAAAAAAAAAAGCCTCCCAGTGCCAGTGATGAAACAATAGACCACTATGCAATGGAGCCTACAATGCAGAGGCCAATATTCTGAGGCTTTGCTAAAACAACCTCCCTTTTTATATACTAAACACCCCTCCCCAGCATATATGTAAAACATTTTCATTTTGATAATAAAGAATACGTCACAAAACGGTCAGCTTGCAACTTCTTTTATTTCTATAGGCCTCAGCACAGCAACTGGTGCTTCTATGTGCAACTAAGCAGATAGTGCTTTGTTCGAGAGAATCAAACTTGTCAAGCAATTGATGTTAACAAAAGGTTGCACAGGAGTGGGAGGGCAAAGTAGATAGTGTTTTAGTTGAGCATGCCAACACATTAACCGCATGATAATATTCACAGTGGTAAGAATAGAGACGAAGTTTTTGCTTACATGCCAATACATCTTTTAGCAGCTTCTAAGCGTACTTTTGGCTACTCCTAAATGGACTTCTGACTACTGCAACAGGTGCTCCAAAGTGACTTGAACGAATCACATTGCTGTAAATGTAATCTGTAAAAGTCACAGTTGCATGGCTTGTCAGATATATCAGATACTCTCTGGTTGTCTCTCGGTTAAATCTCTTTTCTTGCATTGAACTGCCTTATTATAGCTAAAATATAGAGTGCATATAACTTGATCTATTTGGACCCGTGCACCCACTGCTTAAATTACAATTTTTTACATAACATAAAATAAGGCTTGCTGGAGTTCGTATGGTACACAACTTTGTTCTTCAAATCCCATATTCTGTGCGTGGCACTGACTTTTTTTTCAGGTTCCACATCATGACGTAGAAGGTACCGACAACTGTGCAGACCACGTAGAGATTATGGCTGCTGAATGCTCCAAGGCTGCAACAGATGTGAAGCTCTTACTTCAAATAATGGTACAGACGTAACAGGCAAGGAGGGTAGACATCGCTGGCAAGACCACCACTGATGTTATTTAGCTGTACCCGGCCCTCTGCATTCCCGAAGTGGTAATTTTAACACCTTTTCCACTAAACTTTCAAAGCAATAGACAGCCTGGATGGTGGATCAGTTTTGTCTGGTTTTGAGTTACTTCAAACCTAAAAAGGGTATACTAAGAGACTTAGGCACTGTCTAAATTCAGCTAACAGCCTGGTTTGCAGCTGCCTACTTGCAGTGCCGTTGTGCTCTTTGTCTGGGTTTAACACCTGTTTGTGCCATGCGCCCTCGCAGTGTGTGGTTGGAGAGGGGCATCATGAGAAGGAAGGGGCCAGAAGTCTTGTTTTGCCGCAATTTCCTTTTTCCTGCTTCCACACCTGAGTGGTTGCCTCGTCCATCTCGTCTCCAAGATAGCATTTTTATCCATAAAGTATACCTCAACAAGAGAGGGTTTTGAAGTTTTTCCAAGTCAGTTTTTGTTTTCTTTTGTTAGTGGTCAAATAATAGATCTGAGCTCGCTAACGTGCCGTATATGAAATCAGATATCTAGAACGTTGTCTCCATTTTCTCAAGGCTAAAATTTCAGTGTCTCATTTCAGTGTTCCACTAGGCCGTGTTATATTTGATCTATAGTTTAGGCAGAGAAGCATTCTACTCATGTGCTAAGTTTCAATCTAGTCATATGTTCAATAAACGTCAGTATGTTTTTTTTTTTTTGTGAACCGCGGTATCTTGTCTTCATTTCACCATTGACAGGTTGGACATTGCAGAGCATCTCTTTTGTTTCTCCTACCTTTATTCCCTATACCTCATACTTGGTCTTGACAAAAGTATCAACGATGAATGTGTACTTGAATACCCATCCAAGCCAGTGGTTATGCAGTAGATGTAGTGCCCCAGAAAAGGAGCCTTGTCGTTCAAAGCCTGTTTTGCACGTCTCTTGACGTTTGCAAAACGTCTAGGTGATGTATATTGCCTCTTTGAACAGTTCGAGACAGTCAATGAAGAACGGTTTACAAAAGAGCTACTGTACACCTAAAATTGCTGCCCAAGTCGCTTTTTGCGAATAAGTTATTCACGTTAACTCGAAAGTGGTCTTTGCAACAAACCTTTCATTGAAAAGGTTCATAATAGAAAGCTCTCTCGGTGAAAAGTAACTTAAAAGTTAGGGGTGAGCAAGTAGTGGTTGAAATAAAATCCTTGGTAGTTTTGTTTTTGTTCTCTCTCGGAGGGAACGGTTTTTCATCAAATGCCTTTGCAAGCTTCTTATAAGCTCTTTCAATTGACCAGTAAATCATGAAAAACCTTTATTGAGTTTTTTGGGGGTCTAAGGAAATAACAGTTCTAAATAACCTCTCAAGGGAACTTTACTGTTGGGGTGTGCGAATACCCCTCGGTTCAAATAGCGCAGCGATATTTCTAGATTCAAGAAGTCCACTGTACACAATGACTTTCATTGCAGTGTTGAACCTAGAAATATCGCTCTTCTTTTTGAACCGAGGGGGTATTCGCACACCCAACATAAAAGTTCTCTTGAAAGGTTATTTAGAACTTATTTCCTTAGACCCTAAAATAACTCAATAAAGAGTTTTCATATTATTAACTGGTTAATTAAAAAAAAGCTTATAAGAGAACCTTCCAAAGGTACTTGATGAAAAATCGCTTTATCCGAGAGAGAACTAAAAAGAACTGTTTCAGCGACAGAAGGGCTGAAAAGAACTTTTGAAACGTTCCGCACGAAGAACTGTTTCCCTAAGAAGAGAACTTAAAAGAACTGTTAAACGGTTCTTCACTAAGAACTGTTTTAGCGAGAGAAGGGCTGAAAAGAACTTTTTACAAGTTCCTCACGAAGAACTCTTTCATTAAAAAGAGAAGTTAAAAGAACTCCTTAAGGGTTCTTCATGAAGAACTTTTTTATAAGGTGCTTAAAATAACCTTTTAGGGTGCAAAAGATGGACAAGCCGAAGAACTCCAAAAAGTTCTTTTTTGAACTGATTTTTTTTAGTGTGTAGTTGGGCAGTTCGACTAATATCTCTCATATAGTAAATCCCCTTGGAACTGCGTGCGTGCTGCTTCTAAATGCTTCAGTATGCATTTACATCTTCAAAAGTTTTAAGGAATTCTTGTCCTTCTTAGAAGTACCAATAATATTTCTATTACACACATTGTGTGTCGTGACCCACCTTCTTCATGTACAAGTAAAAAAATATTCATATCCGGGCACTTATAAGCAAATGCCACATGAATTTAATAAAAAAAAATTGTTGTTTAAAACTTGTAACTTTCTGTGCCTCTTAAGCGTCTATTTTGTATGTTTGTAATTTTTTTCTGAGTACGCATGATTGTTTTTGTTATACTTTTCATGTTTATTTTGTCAACTTAATGTGCGGTGTTAATAGTTTCAATCTAAAATATTAAATACACGCTATTTATGTATTGCAATACTTACAGTTTTTCTCTGCCACCTCTTCCCCAAGGCACGAGACAGACAGACAAGGTGACAAATGCATTGCTCTGCCCGTCCACTGACCGTCGAAACTCGAGCCAGACCTGCCAGACCCGTCCACGAATCTGGCTCCTGTATCGGTTTCGAACCTAGTTTTTTTAGCTCTCCGGCAGGCGGCAGCACTACTACTATTCCTCTGCTCCTTCCAGCCTGTTTTTCTAGGTGTGTGTGTGTGTGTGTGTGTGCGTGTGTGTGTGTGTGTGTCTGCGCGTGCGTGCGTGCGTGTGTGCGCGTGCATGCGTGTGTGCGTGTGTGTGTGTGTGTGCGCGCGTGCGTGTGTGCGTGCGTGCGTGCGTGCGTGTGTGCGTGTGTGTGTGTGTGTCTGTGTGTCGAATTTTTATTAATAAAGAAGGTCGACATGGTTTAATCTATAGCCTCCAATGTACTGGCAAAGCCTGGAAGATCGATATGAGAAGCGGCCGCCGAAATGGAAAAGGTGGATAGCAGACAACGGATGAGAGGAGAGCCACGTGACTGGCGGCCCGCTGCGGAGAGACGCCGAAACACACCTCTCCTGAACGAACAAGTGTGTTTCAGGTCCTCGCCGCTGCGAAGGCTGTGCCCTGACGTCCAGGTTCCCCGAGAATGGCTTTTTTGATGCTCAGTGCTACCAGATCCTCGCTGTCTAAATCTGCGACCGGGCAATCTATGGCTCCGTTGTCGAACTGCCAGGCTCTGTGAGTATTGTGGAGGCTATACCTCAAAACAAAGGTCCGCATTAGCTGGTGACAAAATACAAAGATATCTATTAGAAAGATACAGATGATCTACTATTTCTTATCACGAGCTGCACCACATCCACAATAACTCCGTAACTGTATTTGGAATGTGCATATTGCACGAACATTAAAGGAAATATTCACTTGCCCTCAACGTTTTCTTTTTTTTTTTTCTCTGCCTTCCTGAATGTTTGCAACGGTACCACACAGCGAAGAACTGTCGAATATATACATCGTACGGCAAGAAATTAATAATGAGAGCCCCAAACCACTGGAGCCCAAGTGAGCGTTTACTTAAACTTTGGTCCAAACTGACGATTAAAAGCAAACTTATGTGGTATGTTCTATGTGAAATAAAGCGTGTACAATGGGTTAATAATGCGGTGTTTTATTTCTCACTAATCAGCGTGATAGCTGGCAATGAGTGGCATTATCAGCTTTCAGTGCTGCTGGCACACAATAAAGAGATATCACGATGCCTGTCCTAGAATTCTTCTCAGATCACGAAGCGCCCTGTGAGCAATGAGTTATTTTTCCAAACGAAGCGGTTGTGCAGCGCGTATAGCTCACTTGGTCAAATTGCTTGACTGGGAATCTAGCGTTTCCCGTAGTCTCGAAGTTGTCATTTCGTAGCTTCACCACTGCAGCACAGTTCGTTTGGGGCCAAGAGGTAAATGTCATTATATTGATGGGTTTAAAACGTTTCGTCTAAGTTCAAAGCATGTTCTTTCTTTTTTGTTGTTGTAATTATAGAGTTTGATAAATTATATAAAAAATTAAACTATGTTAGGTCTACACGTCTAAGTAAGCTGTGTCATTGCCCTCTTTTATCTTGACTCCAGTCTGTACCTCGCGGACTAAGAAAGCCTCACAGGCAAATAGGAGTCAGTTTTGAGACCGATTTTGACACATGTGCAGCGATCACTTGCACACATACTCGTCGGCTTGGCACTGTCCTTCTGCACGCGAGAGAAATAGAGTTCCACTTTGGCACACGCAGACCTGGTACACGTTTTGGTACGGACTTCCCGAGGAGGCAGGAAGTGCTGTTCGGAGGTTCGGAAAGACAATCCGGTCTGAATCCAGTTGAACCTGCGTTTGAACAAGTTGTATAAATATAGCGGACACCTAATGCACGTTCTTTAGTGGTAAACAAATAATTAATCATTACCACTCACTATTTTTTTAATTTGTTTTTAAACGCAACCCGCATAGAGCACAAGCTTTGCTCGAATTAAAAAGGTTTTTACAAAACGACTGTGCACTTGAGGTATGTTAAATTATCAATAATTTGATTCAAAAGGCAATCCGGATATAATAAATACGTCCGTGCATTGGCGCTATGTAACCAAAGCTTGCGAGGATTTGTACAATGCACTGATTGAAACAAAACAGAAGCACAGGTTTTCAGGGTTAGGCCATCATTCGTCTAATAATGCGCAAGTCTACGCGCAGGCTAAGACGTTAAGATAATAAATAAAAGATCCTATAATGCTGATGAATTCAAGCAGCGTAATTTCTAGTGGTTTTGTTATTTGTGTATTCTTCACGGGAATAAGAAAAATTTAAGTAATTTTGTAAAGAATACTCGGCGAATGTCCTGTTTTTAGATGAATGGATAGGTATGAAGATACCCTGAATGGTGGAAGTTGTGCCTTACTATTAAATTAAACAAAGAAACTGGTATTGAACATGACTTTTGACATGTCGACAACGCTCCTCAGAAATAATGACAAACGAATGGGGAGCTTAATGCTACAGGATGTCGACACCTTTTCACTTCTCTTGAAGGAAACAAAATGACATTGGGCAACTTATAAATGCTTGCCCCAAGTGAATCACCACCTTGCTATGCGATCAGTGTCAATATGAAGAATACCACATTAAGTTGACGCACTTACTCAAAAGAAAATACGCAGTCATCAGCCTATAGACAAAATCTGCTAGGCCATCCGCAGTTGCTAATGGACCAGTATCCCTTCATTAGTGATATCGATTTAAAATTTAGAAGAGGTCATCAAAAGTTAACTTAGACAAAATGTGGTCCTCTCTGGGATGCAGGCATCATTGCCAACCAGGTGGTCTCGGTCCCCGTTTGTTGCGAACGTCTTAATAAACTTTCCAAAAATCACGTTTAGCATTTGAACCCGATAACTTCAGTTCTAACACTTTGTAATCTTATCCCAACTCTCACTAAAACACGACCCGATAGTAGAATTTGGTTTGGGTCTAAACGTTGGGCCTACGTGCAGATATACTTAACGTAGCTCACATGCTTTTGCCGTGCCCAAAGTGTATTTTATTTCCTGATTAGATACATTTTGTTGATCATGTACTGTTCAGGATCTAGCCAGATATAGATATAAAATTAATAGGTCTGTTCATTATTTCAGGAAATCAACCTGCTACGTATGTTTCATATTAGGCGCAGCTGGTCATTTTATTTTTTAAAAATTATAGTTCTGAGTCTGAAAGCACGAGTTAACTCTGTAACAAAATTGAGATGCTACAAGTACCTTGCCCTGCTTTTGTCTCGGCATGATATTTTTTCTTAACAAAAAGTAAACAGAAGAAGAGGGGATGAGACCGTCGGTGAGAGGCGCCAATATACCTGCCACGAGAAATAAAATTTAAAGCTGCCTTTGAGATTTGTCCATGTCAGTTTGTCTCGCCAATGTCCTCATACATTTAGTCCCAGGGTTATCATCTCGGTTCGTCTCTATCTTTTCCCATGAATCACTGGACGTCCAGACAGCAAACCTGTCAATGCATGCTAACGCCCGCCTGAGCAGATGGTTCGACTGATAGCCAATGATGTATTTCCACTTCTGAAACGTGACTCTCAGATCTTGAACTTGTTGAAGACATAATCTCAGACATCCGAAACCCGATCTCAATGAGATGGCTGCAAACCGGCAAATTATATTAAATATAAAAAAAATAATGGTTACTCAAAACACAGATCCTATAACTTAAGAAATGTATTCCACTGTCAAGAGTGTCCTTTCCTTGATTTGTGGATTGGCGGTTCTTAGGGTATGGTGCCTGGAACGCGTCTCCGACTGGTGTGTTTACCGGTTTCAAAAAAGTGGTCCCTCGATTTCCGACTGATGACGTCATAGAAGTGTCATGCTGTCGCCTGTTGCGACCCTGGCGGCGCCCCAACAGTTGTGGTATAAGTGGCAGACGCCTGTTCTGCTGCAGATCCCTTGCCACTGTGACAGTTCACGGAAGCTGGAGCAGCTGGAAGTTGGGACGCCTAAAGGGACGCTGTGACGAAAGCGACACTCGCGTTCGCTCGTGCTTTTCGCCAGCATTTCTACGGCCAACCGCCAGGATCGCGACAGGAAACAGCATGACACTCGCGTCATTTGTTGCCACATTGGGACCCCTTTTGATGTATGGGCGGGATAGGACGCTAAACACACCAGTCGAAGACGCGATCCAGGCACCATACTTAGGGTAAATGTATCTCTTTTGGAAGCATCGCCATTTTCCGCACTAATTACATTTGTACGCAACCGAACTATCTCACTGTAAGGGTAACGATGTCCTCAAGAGCTCAAATGTCCTTAAAAGCAAAAAAATTATGTGTATGTTAGGAGTTTCTTATCAAAGTACCAAAAAAAAATATATTTCGCTCCATTTCGAACAGAAAAAAAAAATATTACTACGAATAGTTATAGAATATTGCTCTAAATGACACCTGCAGTGTTCCTTTCTGGGAAATCCTAACTCCCAGCGTATATATCTACAGATTATAAAGACGCGTTCCTTATCATGCTGAAGCGTCCCATATACCGTAGGTGCTGATATCTGGAATGCGTTGCAGGGGAAGCTAGTGTAGGTACCAGTTACGCGTATTGTGACTATTTAAACGCGGAATACCTCAAACGCTTCGCGAGATTTTGAAGTAAGAATGAGCATCTTTGTACAAGATGGCTTTAACCCGAGACTAGAGCAGAAGTAGAAAAAAAATTAACAGTGGTCGAAAAAGAAACAGGGCCAGACAGATTTCGTTCTGTCGGACTGGTTTTCTTTAATCCCTCACCTAAAGAGTGAATAAATAAAATTATTAGCTGAGCCAGACATCATCTGTTTCTGCTTCTTTTTCGGCCACAATCCAACATTTCTTTTCCTCCTTCTGTCCAAGTATCGGGTTAAATTCATGATAATAAACTTCCACCAGCTCGCCTGCGCACTGACTGTATTTCCGGTAATCAACCTAGTTTTTCTTGTAAGCTCCTCGCTCTAGCCAATTGGTTGCTCCTAGATCATATAGCGTGACTCTGGCGGTTCAGTTTGTTCCTGGGTAACGTTTACTCAATAGAGTGCGCAAAAGTGCTCAGACCAGACATTTCTAAGGACAGATACTATACGCACATAAATTTCGTTGCTGACATCATCCGCGTGTATCTACAATGTTCAGAGCTCGACAAAACGAAAGAGACCAGCGGAAATAATTGCTTTGTGCACGTGCGGTGACCCTTATGGTACCTAGACTAACCAAATAAAAGTACACTATAGTTACTCTCAGCTGGAGTATTTATATGCTGGCTGCATACGCTAGAATGATGGTGTGTGCTCCTCGTGAGGAGAAAAGGCAGTTCATGTAGGCGGTCCGCTGGTCCATTTCGTTTCGTTGATAGCCGTACTTCTGCGATCAAGCGCAACACGAGAACCTAATTTACTTGGTGTTCAGCAATTTCGCCGGAAGCAGTTACACGGACGCCACCCCGTCATACGTACAACGCAAGCATACCTCGCCCTCTTTTGATTTCAGCGTGAGGTTGCGATGGCAGGATATGCCGATATCGCCAGCCCTGGATTCGACGAGCACTCCTTGAGGTCCCTGGACCACTAGCCTCCTGGTGGGAGATTCCAACCTGCAAAGATTATCATGATTTGTTTTTAAAGACAACACCGTCTATTTACACGATCGCGTAAAAGTGGACGCGGTACTTAACAACTGAAAATAAAAAAGCAGACACTGCTTGTACTGGAACCTCCATATTTAACACAATTAGTCCTTACATTTTATGCGGCGCGAAACTATAAATGTGATTCAAAGGCCATTTTCATATAAAAATGCTGGATATTATTATACGCGGCATGGGACTATTTTGTGAGGTAATTACATACCGAACTCATGGCGCCTTGTAAGCGCTGTCTTTTGCAACTGGTGCTAGCTCAGCGACTATGCAGAGAACTAGTTGTCACGTGATGGGACATACCCACGGACGTGAAGGCGGCCCGGGGGTGGGTGGGGAAGGGGGGGGAGTTAGGCCAGTACCATTAGGAGACAAGGCCTGCGCCATTTCTTCTCTCAAGTCGTCATTAATGGGTCAAGGCAGCGCCATCTTGCTCACATCCACGACACCGCAAGCGTGACTAGCAGAATCTGACAACGAGCTTATGTAATGCTAGCGCGGCACGGTGGCGCCAAGATGCAAGCCGCTGCCGTTTAGCCGCATTCCCTCTTTGAGAATTAGGGCGCTGTTTAATTTTATTTAATTCCCTCAAAGCGTTCGAAGGTATTACATGACGGGGGAACAATAAACAAAAACACATTGATCACAATGTACATAAAGTTTAGAGAATTGTTTCAAATTCTTAAATAAACAACAAAGAGGAGGAAGCAAGAGCTGTGTACCACTTCACTGCATAAAGGTAAAATAAGTGTAAAAATTTGACGCAAGCACCTTTAAATTGATTACAATCAGAAATGTTTACCGCCCTTTCGGGTAGATCATTTTATTCCTCAAAGGAGTCTCGGAGCACTGCTTGGTGCGACATAAGGGCTACCTGATTTTGTGCTGGTGGTCGTGCCTAGGGAAATTTCGGTGAGGAGGAAGTAAAAGCTGACTTCTAAGAAGCGGAATATGGCAGAAAAGTAGGTGAAGAAGAAGGAATCGCGATACTTTGCCTATGTTGCATCATAAAGATACGAGGCTAGACGTAAACGAAAAATGCCTAAAAAGAGAGCCAACGGCTTTTTTTATATAGATTTGATATTATTAATTAAGCAGTCCTGCTAGGTACTTTAAATTAGGACAGCCAGTTCTATCATCGAACGAACGAAGGACTTATAACCAAGCAAGCGAACCTCCAAAGCTGGCAGATGCAAATGTTTTCTCAAATAAACCAAGGTACAATTTGCTTTGCTAATTATGTATTCAATATGCAGCTTCCAATCCAAATTTTTTGTTGCAATGACTCCGAGATACTTAAAATTGCTTATTTTTTTAGATTGAAACCGTTTTATTTCTAGTCAGAGTTAATTGTTGTTTTCTTCGTAGAAAATGTCGGAGGTTTAGACTGAAATGATGATGCCCATTTGCCAATGCTCGCTTCATGTTACTGAGACAATCATGTCACGCTGCAGGGTCAAGGTATCATATTTAGTAATTATACTCCTATAAATTACGCAGCCGTCTGCGAAAAGTCCGATTTTTGAACAGATACAATTTGGGAGATCATTAACACAAAATAATAAATAAACAAGCCGGACTTTTCTCTAAGGAACACCTGATTTTACTGTAATTTGTGAGATGAATCATAACGAACTGACACTGACGGAGGTCTGTCCTATACGAATGCCCTGATCCACAAAAGAGGATACTCTTTTTTCTTTTTTTTTTAAGTAAGCGCTGGCGTTGAACGCGGTCAGACGCCTTCAAATGATCGGCAAAAAGAGCATCAGTTTGTGTCCGAGAATCTGTGATTTTAGAGTAACTCAGTAAGAATATCAAACAGCTATAGCTTTGCTCCAACGTAACGCGCGCGGCTCCGCGAAGTTACGTCGGCGAAAACCAGACATTCTAGAGTACGGTGTATTTACGCAACCGACGCGACTGGTGTCCTTCGGCGTGCACAGACCTCGTGGCGCGAAATGGATTTGCAGGTGATCTGTAGACATCTCGCACGGGCCACGCCGAAAACCCCGGACCAGCTTCCAAGCATGCATTAACCGCGCGCGCGAGCTTGTCATACAAACTGTGTACATAAAAAGAAAAAAAGTATCGTAAAAAAAGCGAGAGAGAGAGAGGTACCGTTTGAGAGTGCGTTTAGCGCATTATTGACCCTGGGGGGAAGAGCGCCGTGGAGAAGTCGAAGCAAGTTGAAATGGAGACAGGAGAGGCTTCTGACGTGTGCGGCGTAACCGACGTGTCGCAGCTGACTTCAGCCAGCGATCGCTTGCGCGGGGGAGAGGTCTGAGTAGCACCTTGAGAATGTCTACCGCTTTCAGGCCGGTGGGATATACCCAATACGACATGATGTGCAGGCTTTGTATGCCAAGAGTTATTGACTTGTCCGACCGCTCCGGGACCTTTCTTTTTTTTTTTAATTTGTGTAAACAATATTAATTAGCAAGTTACTTCCTGCATGAAAATGTTTCGGAGATGATTGCGTATTATATGGAAAAGTAACATCTGATAGCCACCACTTCATCATTCAAAAAGCCCTATATATACATATATATATATATATATATATATATATATATATATATATATATATATATATATATATATATATATATACAACGGGCATGGTGGCGGGAGGCCGAAGGCGTGGGTATATAACTGAGAAGAAAAAACCCTTAGTGAAAACAGCAACAACGGACGATTTAATCTTCGACGTTTCGGCCGGACTTCGGCCGAAACGTCGAAGATTAAATCGTCCGTTGTTGCTGTTTTCACTACGGGTTTTTTCTTCTCAGTTATATATATATATATATATATATATATATATATATATATATATATATATATATATATGTGACCGCAGAAAGGGTCGAATAAAATTCAATCTGGATATAACTGTGTGCATGCCTTTCTCTATAAAACAATCACCCACCAGATATATTTTTAAACAAATAAACAACACTCATTTAATAAATGTTTCAGAATAGAGTTGTTTATATGTTTAACCCACATCCTCCTTGTGTTGGCGTCGACATGTTTATTATTCATTAACAAAAGCTTCCAAATCTGCGGGTTTCTATCGACGAAACATTCGTAACTTTCCACAGGTTACGTTGTGGAAATGTATTATGTAAAAGAATTGTGATATCTATATTGCAATATGCCTGCACAGTGTGGGGCCCCCCAACTGGTACAGATATAAATAAATTAGAATTAGAAATTTAGCTGCTAGGTATATTTTACGGAATTCACAGAAAAAAAAGTAGAGAGTTTAGCGCGACGCACTCAAGATAATTGTTGAAATAGAGCAAACTGGAACGACCGCAGAGCAAGGCTTCTTTTGAAGATTTTCCACAGTGAATTCCCCTTCCTGACTGGCATCCCACGTGGAACCTAGCTGTTTTCCCCATATTATCCATCCGCGCCTGTGTATCGCCTTCATAAAGTGCGTCAATATAGGTGTAATGCCCGTGCCACACGGGCAACTCGAATAGCATTTACAACGAATGACATTTGAGCGGACGGCCAATCAGCGCGCGACACTCCGGGCGTAGCGCATTCCACGCGCGACAGATTGCGAGCTGATTCGTCGATCACACAAATGCCATTCGTTGTAAATGGCTTTCGAGTTACCCGTGTGCCACAGGTATTAGACTGCAACGTTTAAGAGTTAATTTTTTTTTTTTTTTTCGAACACGGTTAGCCAGTGAAACGGATCACCATTTGCGGTTGTCTCAGTTTTGCCGAACGACGCCGTTTATACTGCTTTGGAAACCATAAATTCATTTGACTGATATGATTGTGTAAAAGGAATTAAATCCATGCAGAAGACTAACACACAATATTACAATTATCTTCATGCTTAGGATCTGCAGACCTTGTTGTCCTCCGAGGGTTAGGGTTTCGTGTATCGTTTATTTTGTTTGATATGTCACGAATGTGACGATTTTCTTTTTTTAATGTCGCGAAATCTGTTGGGATGCTTTGAATGTCGCGAAATATTAAAATATTCATTGAATGTAACGAAAGATAAAAAAGAAAAAAAAAATTAATCCCCGCAAAATGTTATGTATTTTGTCGTATCTTTTTGGTGTTTGGTTCATAGCTTGTTGAAGATGATTACCTATTTTTTCATATTTATTTCTGTGTGTGTGTGTCACGGAACGTCAATTTTTTAGCTTATGTTAACGCGGTAACGCCAACGCCGACGCCGCGAAACCCGGAAACAGGCGCCTAAGAGCTGCGCTCTAAAATAATTACTCCAGTGACAGTATTTTTTTTTTCCAACAGAATTCTTTATATGCACAATTCAGGATTTCATATGAACGAACAAAAGACGCCACAATTCAATCCAAATATGCTATAAAGTATATTCCTACATTTATGACGCTACGCCTTTCCTAGAGCGCAGCTTTTAGGCGCCCGTTTCCGCGTTTCGCGGCGTCGCCGTCGGCGCAACCGCCCCGCTAAATTTCGCGGGATATTGAATTGCTGCTGAGGCCATGTGGCGTCAATTTTACAGCTAAATTTAGCGAGGAACTGTGGGAAAAGAGGAGGGATGGAAAAGGAGGAGGGGAAGGTACGGAGCAGGGGGAGGGGAGAAGAAAAAAGAGGAGGGGAGAAAAAAAGGAGGAGGAGATGTATACCCTCCCCCATTCCTTCTCAAGAGATGCACACAAATTTTGCATAACAGAGATTTGTAAACGTCTTTCATTTTTATGTAAAGTTCATCATGAATACTGTTGGACGTTATTACATAAAATATATTTAAGGAACATTCAATGCTTGAGCACAGCTACTCATCAAATAAACCATGACACAGACAGAAGCTATCAAAAATAGGTTTACCATTTTTTAGACCACCTGAGACTGGGTGGAAGAAACACGACGACGTCTCTGAGACGTAGTCGTGTTTCTTCCACCCAGTCTCAGGTGGTCTAAAAAATGGTAAACTTACACCAGCTCGCCTGCGCTTTAACTGTTTTTTTTTTTTTCAAAAATAGGTTATATTTTTTAGGCTTCCAATTTTTGAGTTTTACCTATACCTCTCGTGTTCAGAGTATAGAAACAGATATACACATGGTATATAGAAAAAGACAGCACTGATAGTTAAAAGTGGTACTTGCATGAGCTGCTGAAAGGTTTCAGCGCGTACGAGGGGAGTCTGCACAGAGCCGTCGAACCTAACACCACCCGGTCCTGCAGAGGAAAGTGTAAAATTTTTTAAAATATTATATTTTTTTCTTGCCTCTAATGCACCCAAAAAGACGGTCGTCACGTTTGCTCACAGTTTTAGCTGAACTGACGTAGTAGATACAACCGCTGAATCACTTTTTACTTTCAGTCGTGTTTCTTGGATGTCAAAGATAAAATGTGCCACTTTGGAGGTGCAGAATAGTTAAAGTCACAAAGATTCAAAGATAAGAAACGTAACAAGTTTCGCATTTCCCGATTGAAGAGACCATCGAAAAATGTTGATGCTCGGTCAGACTATTCTGATGGTCTAGCAGATTTTCCTCGTGGCTCATGAGACTTTTTAACAACGTCTGACGGTCCATCAAACCTTTCTGGTGGTGTCTAAATAACAACTGGTTCCTCAAGTATCGGGATTTCAACAGCAAATTTTACAACCTAGGCATGAAATACCTTGGTACTAATTATCCCAACGTCTGACCCATCTGTTCAAAACCCCTTACCTACGTTTTGATATGCATTCCTCTCGGCACACAGGCATTTCACCGATACCCTCGTTTAACCATCTTAAAGTAATCAGCACCTTCTCTAACACCCCAGGCATGAAGCCTCTGCCAGGAATTTCAGAACAACGTCCACCGACGAAATCATGAGCTTTCAGGATCACCTAAATAACTCGTGGTACTACGCCGTCTCCAGAGGAAAGTAAAAAAGAAAAGAACGATTCAGCAGACTTTAGGAGATGCCCAAGCGGAAAAAGTACAGGTCCCGTCAAAGTAAAACGGGGCGCCGGAGCGGCGACCGAAGTGCATCGCCGCGCTATCTAGCAGCGCCGGCTGGCTAGAACTGATAGGCTACATCTATCTGCGCATGCGAACGTGCCTTCCGCTGGGGCCTCCGTTTTCTTCTTCCAACCCGCACACTATCGGTGGTTCGAGCGGCGGAACGATCTTCCTAAGATCGACGCCTGATAGCACAAGGGGCGGTGCTCATCGACAACACTGGCCCTTTCCCACTTGCCCTCAACGTTATCTCCGCGTGTGAGCCGAACACCTAGCAGTGTTTATTGGAACAGCGTTCGGCAGCTCGGAGACGCCGATAATGCGAGGATCAAACAAGAAAGACGAAGGACACCGCGAACGGCACGCGCCCATGCGCAGACGGCACCTATCAGTTGCAGCCGGCGCTGCTAGATAGCGCGGCGATGCAGTTCGGTCTACAGGGGTCTTAATTCGGTCGCCACTCCGGCGCTCCGTTTTACTTTGAGGGGACCTGAACATAACTGCAGCTTGCTCGGCAAGGTGCGTGTCCTATGCGAAGAGCTGCACACTGCAGCTGTTTGCATAGGACACGTTCTGGGTCTGCGGTCGCATCTGCCTCGGCGCCCTTGTTGACGTGGGCGGAACATCGGTCGATGTTTAAGGGCTAGTTTGACTTACGCCAAATTACAAAAATTGACGTTGTAATAACGTGATCAACGTTTCTTGACCGGCCCTGGACCCGTGGCCACTTGACGCTGTCGCGGTGGCCACGCCACACTTTTGTTTTGGCCCCTTTGTTTTAAGCTGCCTCAGAAAAACGTGTTGTCTTAATAATTTCTGCGCGCAGTCGAGTAGTCACTAAACGTGGCCGTCTCTAATCAATGAAGTTAGATTCTGACATCGATGAACTACTTGTAGACCTGTAGTCTTAGTATTGAACACTAACCCTGGCAAGCAAATTGGACATGTTTTTGGTTCCGTTTTATTTTTTTATCTCGCTTTCTAATGTCTCCCTAATGCTCAGCGATATGTCCGAGAAAATAACAAAAAGAAAATTACACAAAGCGTTATTAGCGTTTTGAAAGGACGCTGGTGGCAATATAAACCGTTTTAAGAACTGGCTTCTATCCGTTGCGTTTTGTAGGTTTCTTTGGCATGGCATGTGATTTTCTCAATTTTTTTTAAGTGACAAACATGCGCGTACTGGGCTTTGAGTTTGTTAACATCAAAAGGGTGTATACACCATTCCGATGTTTGCAAACCCCTTAGCCCAGCGTGCGCAAAGCCCAGCACGAGGATGCCCGCCGCTTCGCAAAGAGAGCTAATCACGCGACATACGCACTAATGCTGGAAATGGTACCGGCAGGAAGCCCCTTTTTGTAGAGGCCTCACGGGTAAAGTTGCTAGATCTTGGGAAATTAGCACTATTGCCTTCCCTGCCTGTTGGCAGGACACCACCAGATACAAACATACAGACGACCAAACCTCGCGATGTGATAGTTCCCAGTTGACAGGGCAATCGCCTTTTTGGTCTTTTCAAATTTTACAGCAGGCTTTAAAATGATTGCACTGAACCAGTCGCGAAAAGATCGCTATGGAGCATCATCGTACTGAAAGCGTTCTTTGCCTATATACGCGTTTTGGGCACTGTGTATGAAATCAAATTGTAATTCATGCTTATTGCAACAGATCTCTTACAATGGTGTTGTTGTCCTTGCGTATTTCAAAAGAGGAAAATTATTTTTCAATGCAGGAAAGCACCGACGCCACATTTGGTAGTAGTGCGAAGATGTGCGATTGTTTCGCCGGTGTGGTTGTAAAAATCTCGGTATTTTAGAAATGTCTTTATAATACAACCCGTCACCAGCGAATTTATGTCGGCTCACCAAGAATAGAGAAATGAAGAAGAGACTGCTCATTCCATTAACCGAAATGGCGACCATACGGGGAACTTGAAGCGCCTTTCCCAGGGTGCAGTGACTGGTAGTGACTTTCGTCACAGGTAGGATGGGAACGGCGAGGCGTCTCTTTGGGATGTCCCAAACGCGATCGTTGCCTTTTGTCATGCTTTGGCTGAGTTTGGACACTTGAAGCCCAGAAGCCGTCCAAATGTTGGTATAAAGCTCGCGCTGAATGCGGGACGGCTGAAGGATCACCATGTCGTTCCAATCCTGTCAGTGACTAGACACTCGCAGCATGCTCCTAGAGGCATAGGTTTGTGTTTCCTCTTATTCCGTTTGCTTCATGCATCATTACCACAGCAGGACAGGATAGGAGGACACAATAACCACTTTAGGTGTTACTGCGTTTTCCTAACATACGCTATGTAACTCGTCAACGCCCGCTTCATTGGGGAATTGTAGTAGACCGTTTCCGCAGCCCGCTAAGCACCCGGATAGCGCTCCGTAATCCGCCACGAGACTTTGAACTATGCAGACAAGGCTGGCGGCGAGCATGCGCAGCTGCGGCGTTTTCTTCAGGGATACCGTAGCGGAGGAGGAAAACGGTCTACTACAATTCCCTATTGGCTCGGCATGTCAATAAGATAAGGTCGGCAATAGCGGCTTACTTTGGTGAGTGCTTAAAGCTGAGTTAGGCCAGTTCAGTGTAACTCAGTGATCGTTAGCGGCTCAATGACATTTTGCTCCGACATGTAACTCCTGCCGATCGCGATTGAGTCAGCTGTCGTTGGCTTGATGGCATTTAAGAGCGCTAGTGTAAATAGGGTATAAGGCGTTGCAAAATGTAACCCACCTTCTCAAGAATCACGGGGGCTCGAGCTTTGGTTAGAAAACGCTAGTGCCCTTCTTGAGCGCTTTCGTGAACCTCTTGCTTAAACGCTTGAAACGGTCGCTCGTTCGTGAGTTCATGGAACGTAAACACGTTTTTATTCCAGAAGCTATGTAACTCTGAATCTAAAGAAAATTAATGTCTGCTCATCTGCTCGCTTTGTCTTCCTCAATTACACTCTGAAACAGGAAACCAGTTACTGAGGTGAGATTATAGGGACACAGCGGTCACTTGATTCCAACTGTCCGCCTCTCTATTTCGTCACTCTCACCTGTTTATTGCAAAATCAGCTGGGAACTGGACTCCAACCAAATTTGAGTTTACAGGTAGTAGAATGAGAGAAAACATAAAAGACTTAGACATTAACCAGATCTCATGTCAGTACCGATGGCGTTTAGGATGATAGGGGGCAGCTTGTGCCTCGGGATTGCTAGACGAGAGTAATCTGGAGCAGCCTTTCTGATTGCTGCACGTTTAGTAGATTGAGATTTCCCTATGTATTTTCACCACGGTGACAGCGTTCACATTGTAGCGACTGAGGGAAGAGTGACGATGGCTTCAGATACCGCACAATTTGTTGACGTTTTTCTCGCATTCCTGAAGTCTGTTTTTTTTTTTTTTTGCATTATTGTCTTTCATTTTAGAGTGACGCAAATTATGCAGTACACCATAGTTCACACCCTAACGCCCAACGACGTGGACACGTCCGTTGCCGCGCTCTGTTCAACCTTCATGCTAGTCGCGGCGGTGGGCTGTGCTCAAATTCAATACCAGTAGGAATCGCGGAAACGTACTCCAACTGAAGCTTTCTTGGGACGCCCATTCGCGGACACTTTTCGGAATAATCTGCCTCTGGGTGCTTCTTTCCACACGTGTCTCGATTTGATGGGCTCATGTGATGAAAAAAGCCCCTGCGGTCATCTTTCCATCATACGGGCCCAGAAGCCGTACTCCCTTAAACCCGAAGTTGGACCGGATGCTTGACGCCTCGACCGATCCCGCACAGAAAAGAACGCAGGATTGCGGGGAATTCACTGAGCGAGATCGGTTGAGTCGGCGCTGGCAAACGCACAAAGATGATGAGCCTCATGACGGTGCACTTTTGGGGCTTCTTGACTAGCTCCGTCACGTTGTGGCGTTGACTGTGGTTGAAGAGAAACAGAGTATGCGGAGCGCAAGTTTGTCTGCTTCTTTTGCAGGGGTTGTGGCATATCCTCCTCCATACTCCCAAAGCCTGGCAGTTCGACGACGTAGCCATAGAGTGCCCGGTCGCAGATTTGGAGCGCGAGGGTCTGGTAGCACAGAGCACCAACAAGCCATTTCTTAGGGAACCTGGACGTCAGCGCACAGCTTTGCAGCGGCGAGGTCCCGAAACACGCTTGTTCACTCGGGAGAAGCGTGTTTCGGCGTCTCGCCGCAGCGGGGTGCCAGTCGTCATTCGTTGTCTGCCGCTCCACCTTTTCTATTTCGGCGGCGGCTTCTCGCGGCGATCTGCCAGGCTTTGTCAGTATATATCAGGCTATGCTTGTGACGCCGTCAGAACGCCGAGTTGTGATTCCACCCACTATCCTTCAATCAGAGCCAATCAGAGCTCGGCGTTCTGACGTCACCACATCCCGAGCAATAGAAGCAGACGAACTTGCTCTTAGCATATTCTCGTCGCTCTCAGCCAAGGGTGCGTGAGGGCGTCCGTAAAGCGGGGACACACTGCCCATACATCGTACAAAAGACAGTTTGCATACAGATTCGAACGCAAGTCACCGCGAGATCCGTGCTTCGGATGCCGCAGGGCAAGGAGTTGAAGGAGAAAACTTGGGCACGCGGCATTCGAACCAGAAGTATTGCGGTGACACGTGTTTGCAGAGTGTCGTTTGTATGATGTATGATCAGTGTGACCCCGGCTTAAGACGTGGCGACCATGTTATGCCTGCACCGAGCAAAAAGCGGGACCGTAGCGTTCAATTATGCGCGAGTTACGGTCGTTTACAAGCGTGTCTTCAGCATCTGTCTACGCGCGGTAACAGAGCCTCTAAAATAACAAATTAAAATAAAAAAAAAACGAAAAGAAAAGCGCAGCTTGCACTTTCGGATTTTTTCAAAATGTTAAGTGTGCTTTTATCATAGCTATTTTTCTCTTTTTGTTATTTTCTTCCGCAAATTTATATCCATGAATAAAATTTCTTCCAGCTTAGCGTCCGCGAGCAACGTAAAAAAGCGTAATAGCGCACAACGGAAACGCGACCGAGAAATATTCGACTTTGCTCGCGAGAGGTGCTGTCCAAGCTTGTGAGCTACAGGCCTATAGCCTTGTTGCTTTGTCACTTCCACTGCGCTTTTATCTGACGTCATAAGCACACACCTGCTGTTCTTATGATTCTCTGACGAGCATAATTTTGTAGAATGTAAGCATCTCAATTTTAACGCCTTGAATTACACGTTTAAACTGATGTGTCGGTCGACACATCCCTATTACCTCTTCAAGCTGATCTTGAAGATCTTCAGTAGTTTCATCTGGTACCGTTGAAAGCCTTTGCCTTCACAAAACGACATGTACTGTTTCTGGTACTAACTTCTCATGCAAATGTAGATCTTTTGAGAACTAAACTATACAGTATTTAAAACAAGAACAAAAACGTCGTGTCTAAAAAGAAAAAAAAAATTGCCGGCGCACGCACCCTACGTTACGGCAAAGGTCGAAGTTCCTTTGTATATCCGTAAATATATATCGTGACCCAAGTCACCAGGCTCGATCTAAAATGGACCGTAAAAATTGACGCCTGCACGTAGCAATCTGAACTTTTCGTCAAAAGTGTATTTCACATGTTGTTTTTTTAATTTTTTTTTTTTTTTGTAAAATTACATAGCATAGCTCTTTTTCTGTAAAAAAGGGCCAAGAAACTAGCCAGGGTCTACAGCGGGCGGCGGCGCAGACGACCAAGTCCAGCAGCGGGGTGTGCTTGGCGTTCGTATTGATAGATGGCGTTAGGAGCAGTGTCCGAAGGTGCAGCCGACCAGCCAAAGAAAGCAGACGACACGCCGACGAAATCCGTTGGCAGAAAAAGCGCCGTCATCATCCAGAAGCGTTTTTTGTTTTTTCCCTTCCAGTTTTGCTTTTATTGTTCGCATTTATTCTTTAACCAAAGGTACTTTTAAAAAAGATTATGTTCATTTTAATAAAACATGGTGGTCGTGAGCCGTCGCAATAGGGAGGTACTGCCATCTATCAATACAAACACCAAACACACACCTTTACTGGACTTGGTTCTCTTCGTCGCCGCTCGCCGTAGACCCTTTCAAGTTTCTTGTCCCTATTTTTTACAAAAAGAGAGCTACACTTTGTAAAAACCGACATGTGAAATACACCTTTGACGAAAATTTTAGATTTGCTACGTACAGGTGTCGATTTTTACGGTCCATTTTAGGTCGAGCCTGGTGAGTTGGGTGACCCAATATATCGCCTTTCCGCTATCCGGGCAACACCGAGCCGTCTTTTTTTATCTTTCCCGCTTTCCCTGGGGCGCGAAGAAACACGCGCGACAAGTAGTAGCGTTTTCATCTTCCAGCTGATCATACGAAATTTTTGCAATCTTCTACAAAAGTGCACGTGGGTCTATGTAGCCAATCTGTCAACATCAAACTACTGGAAAAGGCACTGTCGCTAAAGTCCTCACTTGCAGGACATCTCGCGGTGCATATAAGAGACTGTAACTGTACTTCAACTTAAAGCAAATCAAACTCCAGGGACGTTTCCATGACCCGAGAAATAAAGAGGTCTTCGGGGCACCGAGCATCCTAGCCCAACAGAGCGCACGTGTAAGTGCGAGTTGAACCTGTGCAAAAGCGAGCAATAGAGGCTAAGTAAGATTAAAAACTGTAGCACATTTAGAGTTCACAAGATACTGTTATGTTGATATCAAACGCATGCAAAGTCCACTTTCGCGAGTTTTTTCAAAGCTACAAGGAAAGGGAGACAAGCAAAGTGTTTCTACTCTGTTGCAGGTTAAGAAAGGTAGTACCAGCTCTTCCCTCCACTCTTTCCAATTTAGCAGAGCGAACGCAAGAGACGAGGCTAGTGGACTTTCCTTCTCGCTCACTTACTCTCCAGCGCTCGCTCTGGTGAAGTGCAAAGAGTGTAGGGCGTTGCGAGAGTACCTTGTTCTGCTTCTCTTAACTTGCGGCAGGGCAGCTGGGCGACTCGGTGCATGATCACAAAAACAAAGCAGCGTAAGAAAGACCACAAGCACAAGTACAAGTTCGCTGTCCTTGCGTGTCTTCTATTTGCCCTTGTGTCTTTTTTTATTTTTTGCGTCTGTTTCGTTGTTTTTTTTTTGTTTTTGTTTTTTCTGAAGGCGCACAGGTTTTGCTGACTTCCAGCTGATGGACCTACCTGTAACTCGTAGCGTGTCAGCAGCGACTGCCACCTCCCCGTCGGCCGCTCGAAATAAAAGCTTGCCTTCGGTATTGCGAACCAGGAATTCCTCAGCAAACGCTTCAACGATTGAATTACCTGAGTGAAAAAAGCAGTGAACAATATAGTCGTAATTGATCATCAAGGTTGTTAATTGTTAATCCTGTTGAGTTTAAAAATGCTGTATCCATACTACTAGAACTTGATTCGTGATTTGAGCGTTCTGTTAACTTGTACGTAATAATCCCACCCGCTCTGTAATGCCTTCGGGCTCTGAGGGTACCAATAAATGAAATCAAATGAAAATGTAGTAAAGACATTAGAATACCAAGGCAATTTACTAGGCTTACTCATAAAAAAAGTTCTAAGTTCACGAAGTTTTTTTTTTTTTTTTTCCTTCCGAGGGTGTTCGTGTTTTTTAGTGTCAATTTTCTGTGTGGAATAAGAAATCGATGTCTACCGTGCTTATGTCTAAGAAAATAGGAGGGACACTTCCAAGGAATACGGGCGTAAACTGAACTTACTCGTAAAATGTCCCGGCACCGATAAGAGGAAGAAGCAAGATAAGGGGTGTGGTCCCCCTCTCCCCCCCCCCCCCCCCCAAAAAAAAAAAAAGCAGTCTGGCAGCTTATTCAGGTTAAGCTATGTGCCGTGTGAACAGCAAAAAAATAATGATGCTGACAAGAAAGAATTGTGTTGTGTGTATGTTAACACAGCCTGAAGTTAGTCTGCCTCAAAGGGCGACTTGTCTCTCAGCTGGATATGAGCAATTTAGCCAGTGCAGTACAAAACTGGCCTGGGGTCCTTAACGTGCACGACTCAGTAGTGATACATGACCGCACGCCAGTATGATGCTCTTGCTGCTTGCAGATCGAAACGGGCACGGGTGATAATAGAACCTAGGATCCCTGGGTGCTCCATGTGCTCCAAGCTGATGTGCGCTAGCCCACTTGACCGCCGATGTTCCTACTGCTGAAAATGCTTTCTGTACGTAAAGTTTTTACCATTCTTATTTAAGGACCGTTCCTATTCAGGATTGTTCGATTTTTCACGAGATTAATGAAACCACCTCGGAGGCAACTTTACTTCGTTTATCGCTATACAGGCTGTGGTCACGCACGCACAAACATACAGCGTCTCCCGAAAGAACATTTCTCCGCTCGACTCTAGGCTCCTGAGAGCACCGGAATACGATAGCCGATTCAGGTGTCGCGTCGTCGGCTGAACTTCCCGCACGCTTCCACCTGTTCCGCGCAATAGCCAGGTTGCATAACCATGGATAACAACCTCATGGCTCACCATCGCACCGCGGATACTGCACAGGGAGACTTCACAACAGAATGGCACCGGACTAAGAAGACTGCTCCTAATCGTCCGACCTAGCTTAACTAAATAAAAAGTTAGTGTTGTTAACAACCGTTCCAGACCATTTCTAACTTCGAGTCTGGAGCAACCCAAGACGCTGCAGAGGATCTAGAACTCTTAAAATAAAAAGAGGTAACTTGCTTTAGGTTTTGTTTAGTCCTGTGGCTAAGTTGGGGACCATGGGGGTCAATAGCAAAGAAATTAAAGGGTTTAATTGGTTCGACATGGAACTAAAATGCTTCCAATATCGTTTTACAGTTTCATTTCTAGGGCCTATGTAGTGGGAGAATTGGCACTGGAGTCGTGGCGTAAACTTTTTCAATAACATTTGACTACAAATTTTAGTCGACATTTGATTAAAACTACGGCACCAAGTTAGGTCGGTAGGATTGCCAGGCTTGTTGCAAGTTAAGCTTTCCTCTTGCGTGCTACCTGGGACGATTTGTCCAACGAGCACGCAGCTACAACCGCACTGTCAGCTTAGGTATGGACGGCGTATAGTCTATCAGTCTCCTCCGGTCACTGGACGTAAGTAGTACGCCTTCCAGACCCGAATAGCTGGTGTCCGTGCGAATATCTGTCTCTACCAACTGGTCGAAATTTTCGGGGTTCGGAGGAGGCGTCAGGAGTCGTTGCTTAACTTCGTCAAATGCCTATTGTTCTTCAATTTATTAAAATTTCGCCAGTCTAATCTGATCTGTGTGAAAAAAAAAAATTCTTCAAACCTCGAATGAAGCACCTGTAGTAGGCAAACGTTCCAAAGCATTTCCGCACTGCCTGCTTATCTGCCGGCTGTGGCCACTAGCCTACAGCGCCAATCTTTTCAGGGCCGGAGCGAGCACTATCTCTGGACACGGGATGGCTCCGTCACTTCATTTGTCAAAGACGGACCGACGTTTCGTCAGCTTGAGTGTGCATTCAGCGGCCTTAATGGCATGAAACACATCTCGACGTCTTCTCAAGTGCTCGTTCAAGTCGCTCGAAAATATCACGAAGGTGAATTTCTTCGTTCTACACCGAAAATAGACACCGAAATACAATACGTGTATATAAACGCCGAGAAAACACCTCCGAATTCGAATAAAAATCAACAAAAACAGAAAACCCTATTTATGTTCCACGTGAAAGACTGTTCCTGAAAAAGTACGTTAAAGATGACTCACCTACAAAAAGCCTATTTGTTATTCGTCCTTCTTTACTTCTCGCATTCATAGTAATGTTCCTTGGAGACTCTATTTTGAGAGGGTCATCCTGAAAATAAACGCTGATTTGTCAGTACTTGTTGGAAGTGAAACTATGTCCATGGACACTATATGAGCACTGATCGAAGATTATATTTTATAACAATTTTTTTATATCAATATTAGTTAATTAAATTACACTGCTTAATGCTACCACTTTCTCAAAATCAGTTAATATAGTCAATCGTAGGTATTGAAATATTATTTAATTTCTCCACTTTTTCAGCATTAGTCAATATTGTGAGTGTATTATGTAATTGAGCTATATTTTATTTTATCCCCCTGCCCCGTCTTCGCTGTAAAATCTTAGAGCAAACGAATTGCCCTAATGTTTATCTACTCTCACCCTATTTTTATAAAATATATAATTAAAACTCGACAATGAATTACTCAGAAGCTATATCTTGGTTCCTGTATAGGACAGGTATGTTAAAAGCACAAAACGTTAAAAAAAAGTAAAAATACCATAATACGCATGCTGCGATACTTATTTTGCCGAGTCCTAAGCGTGCTCCAGTTTTGCGGTCGACGTCACGAAATAAGCACCCGCTTCGGACGCGCTCCCAACTCAATATATGCCTCGCGACGTATGTCACGCGCCAAAAAAAAAAAAAGATGTAGAAGGGTTTTTTCTTTAGATACCTGTCCTATTCAGGGACTTGAAAACAATTAGTGCTAAGTGTTTATTTAATAATTTCTTTAAAGGCACCGAAAGGTCAGCAGCTCACCCTCCTTGACTGTACATGTGTTGCGTGGAGTGCCTGTAGGATGTCAGCATCTCCGTTGATTTGTACGCCTCCTTCGACAATACGGAGACGACCCATTCCGTCCTGTAGGATAGACACCAAGGAAACACAGCGCTGTCATTCTTTTTAAATACAATATATTTTTATTGCCACTGATTCTTCCTTCAATTGAAGTGTTTATTTGGTCTTTTAATTGCTCAGAAGGCTGCGCGTGCCTTATATTTTTGTGAAATGAAGTGAGTCGGGATTTTCCGCGATGCTTGGGAAGTTCATAACTAAACTCATGCCTCAGAATTTATCAACAAAAAATAATTACCCTGAACTAGTGTGCAACGTAATTACGCCAAGCTTTGCTAATTTCCATAATTTCCCCAGCAGAAACAAACGTCATCTTTTTTCTCTGCGATGCGCACTTTTTGCACAAACGATTTGCCCGGCACCTCGTGAATTATCCGGTATATATCGTCTTTCAAGTGTATGATTAAACCGACTTTTCGACCTTGTCCTCCTGCTAAACTTTTTGCAACTGTTTAGAGGAAATACGCATGCTAAATACATTGTTCTTTTGAGCAAGAGATTTTTGTTTAATCTCCTTTTAACTCAGTGCCGCTATCTTGTACACTCTACAACAAAAACTAGTGAGCTCAAGTCAAATACATTCTGAAGTTACTTTTGTATTGATATAGTGTCCAGAGATACTATCTGGCAAGCAAATGTAATTTGGTGGGGTTTCGATTCTTGTTGCAGTGTTAGTGTTAAACTACTCCAGTACTTCTATGAAGTAATATGCTTCCATTGAACTGTGTTGCCCGGGTTCAGGATGGCGGGTCGCGGTATCGGCACCCACGACTAGCTCAAGCGAAGGGCTTAACCTATAGAGAAAATTTGACCATTCAATGGGATGAATAGTAGCCGACTGAGGAAAGGATATGGGCTGAAAATGGGTTGGGCGTGTTCACAGATTCATCAAATCCATCAGCACGCTCGCCAGATTTTGAATCACTAAAAGGTACAACCTTGAACACCAAAGACGTTAAACTGATTTAACCTCAATCTGGTTACTTGTTTTGCTCACTACCACCGCAGGGGGACTATTCGCGACTTGTGGTTTGCCACTTTCCGCTGGTTCTGCGTACATTGCGCTTGATCATTGTTACTGAGGTAGTTTTACTGTATTTAGCTAAAGAAAACAGTGCAGCTACTGCATTCCTATAAGGTGAGCACTACATGTTCACAACTTCACCATCCGACTCTGCTTACGCTTTTTCCGAAGTGCCGACCAAGAAAAATAAAGCTAACAGCCTTACTTTTATCTTCAATACAGATGGTCGATTGAATTCCGGCGCGCTTAGGAGAAGTTGCATTCGCTTCAGTCGCAATTTCAGGAGTTGTAAAAATCCAACAACTATAGACCTTTCCAAAAAGAGCGCTCTGGCCGCCGCCATTTTGTGTATCGAGCGACCCCTATCAGCCGGAAATTTCTGGCACCCACCTGAGCTGTGGAAACCCGGTCAGCGTGACCCCCACCTGCATTCTGCATTCGGAGTTCGCCGGCTTTTCTTGGAAGTTTTTATTTTATTCGCCTGTTTAGGATGCTTACCCTTTGTATGTTATCTTCCACAGTGAGAACCAGGGAATACCAGGGCTCGTAGCCCGCTCGGCCTTCGCAGGAAACGAACGAAGAGAGCGAACGTCAAGCAGCCCGCGACGCAGGCAGTTCGACGTGCTTGGAGGATTATTTCCGTCGAGATAATCTCCAAAAAGCCTTCCAGGCTGTGTTCCGGGTCTTCGCAAAAACTAGCTGATAGGGTCGGGTCCGGGGTGTGGCGACACAATAAGCACGTTCGTTCATTTGCTATGAAGCTGTGCAAAAAAAGGAGCTCTCTTCTACATGTTCCCCAAAACACGCCAGATTCCGTCCGATCGTCGTGAAGTGACTATCGTCGACACTGTATATTGGACATGCTGTGTTATTTGAGACCTTTCTCAAATCCTGTTCGGATAACGCGGCACCGAGGGGTACGTACAATATATGTTTTGTTCGATTGATGAGATTCATTGAATTTTATGTTGTGGGCGGGGAATATCCCTGCAGTACGGATATCCTGTGTGGTCAAATATTTTGACCTTTATAGATTGACACGGCTGAATTAACGGTGCCGTAAAACAATGAACATAAAATGAAACAAACATCCCAGTTGCATTTGTTCTGTCGCGCACGGACTCACCAAAACAGCTTTCATTTCTTTGTTTTGCTCCCAAAAAGAGAGAACTGCTTTCTTAAAGACCTCTATAAATTAAGGCCCGTTCACACTCTTGCGACCGAGTACGACTGAGAGAGACGAGATCTCTTAAAACTTCTTAAATGTTTTTAGAATTAGGGAACACACTGGCATTGTGGCGCCATCTATGCGGTGACCCTGAAACTGCATTTCACAAGAGCGAAGGTTTTGCGGGATTTCCCAGGTCAAATGTGCGTAATACTCATAGAAAGGCTCGTTTATAACATTGACAAAAGTTTTTCGAGCCAAGAAAAAAAGGATAATGCGCGAGAAATAAAAAAAAATATGCCGGACCGCCGAGTTCACACTGCTTCCCAATAAATGGCGCCAGTGTGTTCCCTGGTTTAAGAAGTTTTAAGGAACCCAGGTTTAAGAGGTCGCAAGAGTGTGAACGGGCCTTTATGCTCGCCACAGAACACAAGATAAAAAAGAAAACGCGGCAATTCAGCCGCCACCAGCGTCCGGAATTGCGCCCAACGCAGGCTGCCATAGCCTACTGACGAGAAACTCCACAGCTCAGCGCAGTCGGGCAACACTGACGTACACTCTCAAAACCAGGGACACGCGCTGTAAATCGCTTCGTTCGAGACTGCCGCTGGAAAGGTCTATACAAGCTTACGCTTGAGCAGCCGCAGCGTCGGATTAGCGTTTTTTTTTGTGTTCTGCTTCGTCAGTGTGCGGCGTGCTGATAATCTTGCAATGTCCCCCGAGGAAAGCAAAAGGAATTCAGAAAACGATTGGAAATTTACACAGAAGGCGCAAACTGCCTACGGAGGTTCTCTAAAAGCTCGCTTAGTGCCGGCTACAACGGATTGACTCGAATCAAAGTCGTGGAGTCACCACATAATCCCACCCAATATTAACACTGAATCCGTTTAAGCGGTATTCACACGAGGGAGAAATCCCGGGGATTCTTTCTCTCTCGTGTAAATACTCTCATGTGAAACTTGAACGCTCGAGCGTGGCGAAAAGGGTTACACGCGGGCGAAAGCAACACAAATATTGTATAACCCGTAACAGTCAATGCATAGTCATAATATTTCGCGCAGAATCATAACTAAGAACGAACAATCGATGCCAGAGAGATACTCCCAGGAGCTGAGCGGGAATCGAACACCGGACCATGCGATCCGCAGTTTGACATCTTTTCTCGGCGCCACGAGCAGTACATGCATGAGAGCGCAAGCAACTTCACTAAGTAGATGCCGCCGAATGTCCCCTTCGTTAGCATTCGACTGTCCGCGACGAGTGATACTTTGTCCAGCATGGTTGATTCGGCATGCTAAGCCCACAGGAGACCATCGAAGGCGAGTGATACTTAGTCCAGCATACTTAGTCAGCAGTCGGCCGCCATCACCGTAATGCTTAGACCATCATACTTAGTCCGCAGGCGAGCTTCGACGGCTTGTTACATTTAGTCCGGGAGACTTAGTCCGCATGCTAACGTCAGTGGCGAGTAATTTTTAGTCCATTATACTTAGCCCGCCGACGATCATCTGCGGCGAACCGTACTGATTCCAAAATAATTATTCCTAAAACTTATCGCAACCGACGCTACCATTCGATAGAGCCAATTGAGCCGTGCAAAAAGTGCCTCGTCACAGCGCTCGTTTTCTCCTTGAGTTAGCTCTCACCGGGTAAACCAATCACGCGAGGAACCGCGCAGGATCAAGACGCCTTCACCGCTCATTAACACTGGAAGCGGATCCGCGTTCGCAAAGCGGTTGCGAACGCGGTTGTATAAAGATTCAGTACGATTGCACGCGCACTTGATGACATCAAGTGCGCGTGCAATTGTACTGGATACATACTGGATCTTTATACAACCGTGTTCACAACCGCTTTGCGAGCGCGGATCCGCTTCCAGTGTGAATGAGCGGTTATTGTGCCTGATTGGTTTAGTCACCGATACCGAACCTACAAAGACGATTAGCGCCTTGAACTCGCCTCTGACTGACACCTGGGCACTAAGTATGCTGGACTAAGCATGAATCGCCACCAACGGTTGCCTGCAGAACTGAGTTTACTGGAATAAGTATGACTTGATGCCGACGATCGCCGGTGGACCAAGTAAGAAGGCTGGAATAAGTATGACTCGCCGTCGCTGTGCTTCTACGAACGAAGTACGCTGGACAAAGTATAACTCGCCTCCGACGGACGCCAGCCTACTAAGCACCTGGACTAACCGTAAATCACCGCCAACGGTCGCCTGCGGACAAAGTTTGCTGGACTAAATACTACCTGCCGCCGACGGTTGCTTGTGGACAAAGCATTCTGGACTAAGTATGACTCGTTGCCGATGTTCCCCTGCGGACTAAATATGTTGGACTAGGTATAACTTGCCAGCGACTGTAGCCCCCCGATTAAGTATGCCGATTAAATACGCTGGACTAAGTATGACGGGGTCACGGTTCGGCCGGAGGCGTTGCGAATGCGATAGAGGCGAGGCCGAAAACGAATAATTTACAGCGCGTTATATTTACAGAAGGAAGACGAAGATATAACGGAAAGCAAAGGAGTATGTACACAGTAAAAAGGGAAATAATACACACGCGCTTAAGCTCATCTACAGTCCCAAGAAATTAAGCTGTTCGGAGCAGGCTTTACAGTTTGAGTTCGTTGCGTCGACGAACCGAAGTGACATGCCAAAGGCAGCGAAGGCCTTTGTCTCTTAGGCGTTTGACGGGGAGTGTGGAACTTTGGCGGGACAGCCTGTGCACAGCAAGGGTCGGGCGCGTCCTGGAGCGTAGCCATGCATGGACCCCATCCGCCGCTTCTTCCCGGTCTCAGTCTTCGATTATCACTCCGTCGCCATCCTTTATCTTTTTCTTCCTCTTCTAACAACGTTGTCTCACGTGGCATCTTCTTCTTTCTTCTTGCCCCTTCAACTTCATTTTATGTCATTTCTTACACTCATGACAGACGGCGACGACGGTCGACTGCGGACTAATTATGTTGGATTAAGTGCTACTCGCCTCCCATGGTTTCGTGGGAGGACTAAGTGCGCTGCACCAACTCTGCTGGACTAAGTATGACTCGCCACTGACAGTTGCGTGCTACCGCAGGCGACCATCGGCGGCAAGTCCTACTTAGTGTAATTGCTTGTGGTCTCCCTCATCTTTCGCTTGTGGTGCCGAGCAAAGGTGTCAAACCGCGGATCGGATGGTGCGGGGTTCCATTCCAGCTCAGCTCCTGGGTGAATCTCTCTGGTTTCGATTGTTTGTTGTTAGTTATGATTTAGTATAAACTATTAGGCGTTGTATATGCTGTGGGTGCTTGTGCATAGCCTACTACGGGCTATGCATCCTTTGTGTTGCCTTGGCCTACGTCTAACGCTTTTTCGTGACACTCGAGCCTTACACTTTTCTGTGAAGCCCAGCCCATGAACACATTCTGTGTTAAAAGGTGCATGTATCCCTTTTTTAGAAATTTTAGAAAACAAACCATGACTTATACACCGGAAATAGCATAGAGTCAATATAATTATCTAGAGGAAAAGGTCTCACGCATTGAGGCCATTTGGGAACGGCGGTGCATAGACGCGGATGTCAGCGGCTGGACTTATATCGCTTGCGACGCTATAATAAGCACAAACAAGAATCAAAGCATCGCCAAGAAGCATCCTCGTGGAAAAATATCGTAATCGTGCATTGAATAAAACTAAATATGGTTTGACAAGCCCTAAAGGAACTTCAACTCGTGGCGGCAAAACAAACACACCTAATCTTACGTTCGCTTTCTTTCACTTCTTTTCTGATGCTCTCTTTCTCGTTCTTTCTCCCGAGACCGCTGATGTCAGCGCCCGGGATTTGCCATGCCCTGCTCCTGTCTTTACCTACCTAAGAGAATACGGTACTTCCTCTGCCATTGCTTTTTACCAGTAGGTTTATCGCTTGAAAAGTTTGGAGTAATGCATCAGTAAAAAATATATTTTTGAGAGAACAAGTGGCATAACTTATTCGAATCTAGTTAGAAATTTATCCACAACCATTATTTTCTTATTTATTTATCTCTCTAATCCAAGGCTTTCCTGGTGAGGTAATCTCTTTTAAAGTGAATTATATAAAAGACGAATGAGCAGTCGACAGAACTCATTGAAGTGGTTCGCGTGTCTTCGCGTCTTCATTACTCTAGCCGTGGTGTTCTATAATGGTATATATGGCGCATTAATATATGTTTCTGCAAGTGTCCCGCATTTTTTTTTCCAACGTTTTAACTGTTTACGCCTGCTATCTTGAGTCAGACAATACAACTTCTTGCCTTCATGAAATTCATACGAATCGTCGCATTTCCGAATTAGCACTGTCTCCATGGAACCAGTGCGACAATTCGTATAAATTTCATAAGGGCAAAAAGTTGTATTGTCCGACTCAAGATGGCAGGCGCTAAAGGCAGGAACGACACAGTTATCAAGGCTCTCATTACGGAGTCTTGGTAGATCGTTTTCGCCATTCCGCAACGCTCTCCGCAGCCCGCTACGGTACCCGGAACTCTACAGTCAATGTCATCGGCGCGCAGGCGCAGTAGCGAGATCTTCGTTGCGGGGGGCTTAACGGAGTGGGAAACACGATCTACGAAAACTTCCTATCGGATCTGTCTCACGTTTCTGTAGAAATGTCAGACAGATTCAATGAACGCCTTGTTAACTGTGTCATGTGTGTTTTTGATCAACTTAATTCACTGACTCTACCAAGCAATAAAACGGTTTTATAATTTTACCGGTGTAACTTCAGGGACACCTATGTACTCCTCCAAGGGGTAACCTTGATTTTTCGTAGGGTGTACAGGCCTCTGTAACTTGGCGATTATTCTGAAAATTTGAGTAAGTTATAGACAATATAGGTCGTCCAAGATGGAAACTCGTAGAGAGACTTCAGAAAATGTCGATGGATAGAAAAAAACTTCAAAGAAAGATTTAGATGATAAGCGCCCATTGATTGGCACACATAAATGTTAAAAACTGTGTGCTTCACAGAAAGAACTCTTGTTTCGTAACTTTAAGTTCGAATTGCGGACTAAGCTTACTTTTCTTTTATCTGATGAATTCGGCTCTTTTTAAGTGCTTGACCAAACCAAAAGGATGTAAATTTTCGCTTCATTTGTCTCATGTTTCTTTCATCTGTTATATTTTAACTCTACCGTGCCAAAAACTATATCGGATGGAGATAACTTGCGCCAGATCATTTTGACTAGAAGGGACTATAGGACATCAGCCCAAGTAATTGAATAGCTTCAGATCCACTTCTACCATAATCATCGATTAAGTTTTCTAGTTATTTGTGTGATTATTCTTTTCTATTGTTTGTTTTGTGCAACTAAAGCGCGCATAAGTGAAAAAAGCAGAAAAGGGGGCGCGCTGAGAGCCAGTAATCACTTGTGCGACGAAGCTCCGCCCCGCAGCTGCTCCTTGTTCCGGAACAAGCGACATCTCGGCTTGATTTTCTTGTTCGTTGAAACGTGCTTAGTAATTGGTCGAAAAAAACAAAAAACCTACCTTTTTAGCCATCTTTTTTCTATTTCCCGAATGCTAAGAAGCTCTTCGCAAAGAAACGGCGGATTTCCGAAAGCCGAAGGAAAGGTAAGACAGCAGTTGTTACGACTAGCACACGACGCCTGCGTCCGGCGCCAGAACGCCAGACCCTGGCGCCACTGCTTCCTCTGTGCGACGAGCAGATGACAGTCTTTCTGGCTCTGATTGGAGGGATAGACAAGGATATTGGGTAGACGCCAAGGCAGTTTGCCTTCGTCTCTACGCACTGCCCCTCTCCAAAACAATGGCGTCGGCGTCTGGAGCCGTCTCCTAATCGTAGCTATTGCTGTCTTACCTTTTCTACAGGTTTAGGAAATCCACCTGTTGTTTACGAACGAGGACAGTTTTCGAGAACGACCAGGGGAAACACATCAAAGGTTATGTTGATTTGTTTTTTCTCCCTCTAACTATACTACTAGACGCGTTCTAACGAACGAGAAAATCACGGCCGAGATGTTTGCTCTGCTTCGAGGAGCAGCTGCGAGAACGGAGCTTTGTCGCACACGTGATTCCTCCCCCTTCGCCCGGCGTCTTTTCTTTTCCTTTTCTACATTTACACGCCGTATACTTTGATGTCTCGAATACAAATGTTTTAGTGAACTGTTTTTTTCTTGTTTTCGTGTATGTTATTCTATATAATGTCTCGGATCTCATCGCCCTTTGTATAATTAATGCTCGTATGAACTTTTAAGGTGTCATACATGATGGTAACGATGATCAATATGGTGGTTGCCCACCAGCGAAATGCTAAAGATATGTTTTTTTTTTTAAGAAATAACTTTGTGCAATTCTCTAAGTCTATTTTCGTTCTTAGCGAGTTTGGTGCAATAGTATAAATATGTTTCAACCTCTCTTGTAATGGCCTTCAAGAGATGGTCGGCGGTATCGATAAATATATAAATAAATAAAAACTGCTTACGAGTGAGAAGTCGAGCACCCGGAGCACCCAGACGGTGAGTGCTACGTTCATGACCACCATGGCGAGGAGGAGGATGACGAGGAGGTAGAGGCAGCGCTTTCTCCAGCCGTAGATGCCCACGTGGTGCCGCTGGCCGGGGGACACAGGCGTCACGTCCGTGTCCCGGCATGCGACCAGGTCCTCCGCCGCCACGGCGTCCACGAAGACCGACGAGCGCCGCTGCTCCCAGGCCGACGCCCGCCGGGGGCCTTCCCACGCCGAGGGACGCCTCGACAGCGACGCCGCCAGAGGGACAGAGGGAGGAGCCAAGGAGGCGCTGGGCGCAGCAGCCATCCTCGGGAAGGCCCTGCGACGGTCGCCGTTTGCAACCCTCTGAACTCGCACAAGCAATGGCAAGACGAGCCAACAGAAACAAGAGAAGAAAGGAGGGAGCCAAGACTAGAGCCACTAGAAAAGCTTCGCTTTCGGTATCGGCACTCCATCTCATGATTTTATTTTGGGCGCCGCACTGTTGGTGCCTAGTGCGACTTATCAAGCTTTCGATGCGGTGCCATGATGTTTAGGCAGTATGGCTTTGCTTTGATCCTGACTGTATTACAATTTCTGGAGCACGTAAAAGCGTGTGCTGCGAGCTCAGATGAAACTTCAGATAACTGGCTACAATGATTCTAAGCACCAAGTTGCCTGAAGTGCCGCTACTCTAAAGCTTGGCTTATATAGTGGCTCTACACCAAGGTGCCTCTGGTGCCTTTTTCTCTTACTGTGTCTCTCGTATCATCTATATGTTTCGATGCGCGCGAGCGTCACGCACCCCAATAAAATCTACGCTTAACTCTTTCACCGGTGCTCTGCTTAACTATGATTTAACATATACAGGTATCCATCCTCACCCTCTTTGGAGATTTTATGCCGCATTCCACGAATACTGCCTACGATCTTCCTTTTGTACGTGAACCAGGCTTCCGGGCACGGCTTCAAGATGTGCGAGTTTGAGGTGATGAAGGACGACTGCACCGCTATTGCCACTGATCCGAATTACATATTGTGCCTGTATCTGTGAGTCTATTAATCAAATACTACGCGACAACCTTTTCTGTAAACCATGCGAGCAATGAAATGGGTCACATTTGGCAAGACGGTCTTACTGCTTTGTTGAACAAAGCCACTTTTGAAAGAGAGATTGAAGTTTTCGTTTCAGGCGGTGGTATATTTGTTTGTTAGTTTTTTTTTTTTGGCCCCTCGGGCTGCAGTCCAGATTCGAACTGCCCAGGTTGAGCGTCATGGCCGTACGAAATTAATCACGGCAATGATGATAAGCATGAAGAGAAGGGATGTTGTCGTTATGAATGTGCTGCAGTTACTATAAAAGACGTTGTTTTTTGTTGTTGTTGTTTTTGTAACATTATGAATGCACCCCTAACGACCATTTCAGCTCAATACCAAATACTTTACTAGGCATATACATCCTACTCCGAACATTCGTCTTCGGCGGCGCGCCTACTGCACCAAGTTCTCTCCTGGCGGTTTAGACGTCTTTCCGCGCAGAAAAAAAAACAACATAGTTTTGCTCTAAAAATGTTTAGAGAACAAGCTACCACACATATTGAGCAAACACTAGCATCGACCGAACAGTCTGCAGCAGGCCCTTCATCACCGGTGGCAGATGACTAATAACCGCGACTTCCATGGCCAATAGGCGGCGCCCCCCACCACTCCTTATTAAATGCGGAAAAACCCGAGGTTCTGGTCATTCAGCCGTTGAAACTGCGCCAAACCTGTCCGCGCCGAGGCCATTCTATTGTCGGGGAATGCGATCTATTCCCCTTGTAAAGCATTTATCTATACCATGAGAAACCATGTGACAGAAGGAAAGGAGAGTAGGCGGGTAGGTCAGAACCTTGAACTCTGGTTGGTACACGCAAAGGCTAGCTGCCGTTGTCTCTGCCAAATGTCTCCTTTCAATCAGAGTGAACAAGAGCGTGGTCTGCCCCTCCCGCAGTGTCTCGGGTTCGAGCGCCTGACGACGGTGTTCGGAATTCGAACACGTCTGGACAGTGAGTAGAGACAGTGGCTGCTTGCTCTTGTGTTTACCCACTAATCGTTCCAGTCAAAGCTCGGCGATCTTTGGCGTCCAAACGCGCGTCCACATCTCCAACTCCTTTTCAGTTTCTCACTCCCCTACCCCGTTTCAGCGGACCAACAGAAAAAGGTACGGCTCCAGCGAGCCAATTGGGAGTTTTCGTAGACCGTTTTCACTACTCCGCGACGCTCTCCCGCAACGGAGACGCCGCTAAAGCGCATGCGCGCCGCAGGCCTTGACTGGAGAGTTTCGGATCTCCACAGGTACCTTGGAATGAGAATAACTAGTAAACTACTTTGGAACCAGTATATAGATGACATAGCTAATAAGGCCAGGGGAAAATTGAATACACTTAGACGCACCTTAAAATTTGCGGATAGCGAAACAAATAAGACTGCCTCGTACGACCTATACTGGAATGCGCTCACACAGCTTAGTACCCGCACGTACCAGATGGGATTAATAAACTTGAACGCGCGCGAAAACTGGCTGGGAGATTTATATCTAAAAACTTCAGAGATACTGTGCCCGCGTCAAGTTTACTGGAACAAGCTGTAACCTCCATTGGAGGTTACAGCGAAACTAAACAGATAGAGAAATCTATATTATTCCATTAATGCATCTTTAATTCCAATAGGAATGGATACATTGAATTTTCAACAAAAAGTTCGTCTAGACTAAATCGTAGTAGGACTATTAAACAGCATAGCACTAAGCACGATGCCTTCAAATATTATTTTTTTCCTCGGGAAATTGATGAATGAAATTTTTTGTCAAACGAAATGGTAACGCTTCCTCCACTTGATATTTTTGTTAACGTAGTCGCTTCCGACACGAGAAAGTGCTCGTAAGCACAACACACCAAGTCAATGTGTAACCACCCCTGCCATTGCTCACAGATGTGAACCGCAATATTCTGTAAAAAAAATTTTTTTTTTTTTTTTAAATTTCTTGTAGCGGGTGGCGTTGCGGGACGGAAGAAACGATCTACGAAAGCTCCCTAATCAGAGCTTCGGAGCGAGACACGTGCCAAAGTTTCGTCACGCATCGTTGGAGGGCACTCTTTTTGTAGAAATCGATCACGTGCTTCGCTCGGTAATTTTCATTGTTTTGGGGAGACCGTAGCGCTCTGCCTTTGCTAAGTTAAGCCGACAAGGAATATCCGCCTTTCAGAAGTATCTACAATTTTTATGAGCTCAATCAAAGCGGAGGTTCAAAAATAGCTTTGGTAAAAGTTAAGTGTTAGCTTTGCTATCAAAATAATCATACTCATAATTTTTATTTGCACAGTTTTATTCTTATTCTCTAGGGAGCGCGCGAGTCATGTGCTATCTAAAGACCCTTCATGTTGTAAAAGTAGCGCAAGGTGCGTCGATGCACGAGGCACGTGCAACGTGCAGCCTTTGGGAAGATAATGGCTGCAAAGCGCAGCACTGAGCGAGATTTCAGACGCCATGAATTTCCCAGAAGTGGCGCGCGGGCACGTGTCTCGAGCATTTCTAGAACAATGAATGGCGCCACTTTTCCCAGGATAGAGGGGCTTAAAGGGATACTGAACCAAGGAATTTGGTGTCCATAATAAGTGGCGCACGTTCTTTCCACGAGCCAGCAGCCGCCGGTGTGCGCGAGCACAGGCAACAAAAATGACGTCACAGACCTCCATTCGTGGTTGAGATGACAGTGAAATGTATGGGCTTCGGACCAAAGGAGAATAAAGACAAGTTTTTCATCTACACAGTGGTGCCTGGTGTAAAAAGTAAGCGATGAATTGGTCTAACAAGCACGTAGCTTTCACTTGTAGAGATGAAAAGCCGGTCTTTATTCTCCTTTAGTCCGAAGCCCATGCATTTCATTGTCCTCTCAACCGCGAATGGAGGTCTGTGACGTCATTTTTGTTGCGTGTGCTCGCGCACACCGGCGGCTGCTGGCTGGTGGAAAGAACGTGCGCCACTTATTACGGGCACTAAATTCTTTGGTTCAGTATCCCTTTAAGTACTATCGGAATATGACTCCACGCGATCGCCTTTATTTCTCAGTACAGTAGCGTCCGACGAGACATTTGACACCACACCGCACCTCTTACCTTCTAACGAAATCTGAGCTGTCATTACCACTTTCCCGAGGTCACTCTCTCAGATGAACACACTGCTGAAATCGCTTTGCTGCTTCCCGCTTGAGAATCATATGAACGGCTTCAGCAGAATGCCTCGGTCCCACGGAGCTTGAGCAGCTTCGATCGGGCCTCGCGGGATTTCCCGCGGCGCCCGACAGTCGGCGCTCCGTTCTCGTTCCTCAAAGCTCCGGGGACGCCGCATCCAGAGAAGGAAAGAAGCAGTGGAGTCCTTCCCCTCTTCCGACCTGTTGCTAGCGCTCAGGATCTTTAAAGGCATCTCCCTAACGATACCCCAGTGTACTCAAACGTGTATTCTGACGGAGCTCCGAAGGGATAAAAACCCGAACTCTCTACTGCACTTCTCAAACGTATGTGCAGGGAATTGTTATTGATGGAATTGGCCTCTTTTCTGGGGGAGCAGCGGCAGCGAACACTTAGCATATCTTTAAGTTGCCATACTTCGCCTCTTAGGGTCATTCATCTCGCAGCAGCGTCGCGGATCCGGGGGCCTCTCATGTTCGCCGATTTACTCCGAGTTTCTCGTTTCGCCATTTTCCATCATGAGTCAGCTAGTGTTTCCGTCGGCACGCTGCGAACTCGAGCCCCACCGAAAGATGCTTCTCCGATTTCCGGCGGCTAACGATGATGGCAGGGACTCGAGAGTCGTCCCTAATGACTGCAACTCGGGAAGCTCGGGACAAAGTGTCGTCGAAGAGCATCTTCGCCGCCATAAAGACGGCAGTGGTGCGCAATGAACTACCTGCTCCGTACAATGAAACGTTTCTCGTGGTGATTCAGGCACATTCGCTTGGAATCTAAGGAGGCGTATTACGGTGTATTACCGCGCCGTATCGCATGGCGTATAATTGCGCTCCAAAACAAAAATGCGGTTATACACAATTAGTTCAGGAGTCACACTCACGAGTGTAAATTTGCCAGAAAGTTACACCAACCTATTTGTTATATTTAGGATTCCCTGTTTCCGGAATTTATTTTTCGTCAAATTTAGAGGGTGTTTTTCGGAGTTAATTTTTTTACGAAAATTCGGAGTTTATCGGAATTTAATTTTCTTTGATTTTCAATTTTCCGAAATTCGGAGTTTAATTTCGCTGTGTTTCTTATTAAAAATAAATAAATAATATCCGGGTGTAAA